CTAAGTACTGTAAAACTGCATTGAACTTGACAACCAACTATTTTTTTCGTCGCTAAAATTTGCTTAAATTTGACAGCATGGTCTGCTGCAAAACAATTCGCTAACAATTTAACATTAGGGACATTATTTTAGCTAATACGATGCCCTTACATATAATATATAATTCATTTAAAAACGATGTGTGTTAAACCACAAAAAACAACACCAAATGTCAAAGTATTTACATGTATACATATATTTTTAATTTCGTGGCCACCACTCATTGCCACATTTTGCTGTGTTTTGTATTTGCTGCGCAGCAATTGTCCACATGGCGGAGGCCGACCACTTGAAAGTAGATCGTAATGGCGCGGGTTCGTGTGCTCTGAGGCAGTCGGTTTTGCATCGATTTTTCTAGTGTTTCAAGGTAAGATTTTGCAGGAAACTTGGTGTAAATGTGAAGAGTAAGTGTTTTGTAAGATAGCATGACACTAATCAGATTGAATTAACTACAATGAAAACGCTTGGTTATGATGGCCTCTCCGACCCGTTTTTGGGCGTTACCCCGACGGCGGATTTTTTAGGATTTATAATATAGATAGACTAGAGGTACAGGTTTACGCGATAACTGTATGTTTTGATATGTATGATTAACGGATGCATTAGTTTGGGTGTAGAAACTTGCATTTTTATTGGTATGATTTTTGTAGAACTGGGTAACTGCTTTTAATTGAACTGTAAAGGATGATGGTGATTCATGCGAGTTGTTCGAGCCCTTTGTAAGTTAGGATGTTACTGAACGCAACCCTACCCTACCCTACCCTACCCTACCCTACCCTACCCTACCCTACCCCTACACTACCCTACCCTACCCTACCCTACCATACCCTACCCTACCCTACCCTACCATACCCTACCCTACCCCTACACTACACTACCCTACCCTACCCTACCCTACCTTACCACTACCCTACCCTACCTACCCTACCCTACCCTACTCCTACCCTACCCTACCCTACCCTACCCCACCCTACCCTACCCTACCCTTACCCTACCCTACCCTTACACTATTTATAATATAGATGTACCAAGTATGACCCCATTGAGCTAAGCTACCTCTAAATATAAATATTTTTTGATAAAATTTCATACAGATCATTTTTTCGTGAGGTAGAACAATATGGCTACCCATCCCGGTTGAAATTAAAAAAGTCGAAATTAAGTGCCACCCTAGTATATTATAAGTCAAGTACGTGGGTCGGTGACGTAATGTGGACGGGGGGGGGGGAGGGCACACGAAAAACGGTTGCACCTGCTCCGATTATATCTTTGGCCTAGTCGGCACGGGGGGTGGTGGTGGTGGTGGTGATGCAACGCCTAAGATTTTTCGCAACTAAGATAATTTTTTCATCACTTATAGACAAAAGTTAATATAACTCTTGTATTAGCTAATAATTAATATAAAACGCATCACTAAAACGTAAGGACGTTTTTTTTTCTAGAACGATATTACCCAAACCCGAAAAGCCGAAAAACGCACACAGAAAACGCATAGTGTAGCCAGGCAGGCCTTAACCCGCGCCCTGGTGGGGTCTGTTTATAACGCGACCTGGTGGGGGGGGGGGGGGCTATTTTTTGCCCCCCCCCCTCGTATCTCCGAAACTACTGGACGGATCCGCAAAATTCAAACGGCGTTCGAAAGGCCTGTCAAATTTGTCGAGGAAAACCAAATTTCATTGACCTCGGGGTCACCGATGACGTCACAGGTCAGGTCAAAGATGAAATGTTTCACCGTTCACGGGTCTTCTAGGGAATGCGCTATAACACCGAGGAAAACGCATTTTGTCGAGAATCAGCGATAGGGCGTCAGTTGCCTAGTAGATATATTACTATTAGAGGTCACTGACAATACCAGGTCAGGTCACAGGTCAGGTCACCAAGGGTCACAGGTCAGGTCACATGAGCCCAACTTTACTAAGGTTGTGTGATGCATGTTTTATGGCCAATTTTTCATTTCCAACTCAATGGTATTGGTTATAAGACTATCAGGTACGGCTTAGGTCACTTTCTGGTGAAGTTCAGGTCAAGGTCAGGTCAAGGTCAGGCCAAAAAAGGTCAAATTTTAAAGTTGATAGTTTTGCATAAAATGGGTATTGATTCGATGCAGCTCGTCACGGGGAGTCTAATGGTGGTCTTTGTTTTGCGCTACGGGGTCTAGAATTGCTAAAAATTGAGTTTGAAAATTTGACGTCATCAATTTTGAACAGTTTTTTTCGCTATAACTTCGCCAAAAAAAGAGGTATCGATCTCAAATTTGGTATGTGGATGGAAGGCGGTAAGGACTATCACATCTATTCCGGTTTTTGCGAAATTCAAAAATTTTTTTGGATTTTTCGATTATTATATGCAAAAAAATTATTTTTTGATTTTTGAGGGTCAAAATCCAAAAATTTCAAAAATCCGAGATAGCAGTTTTGTAGCCCTGTTGATTCTACAGCTTTTATGTCTTTATCATTTTTCTGTATTTGCAAAGCTATAGGCCTGACAGCTCTTCCCGCGAAACCCTTTTTTGGGTCGAAAACGGCAGAACATGACGTCACTCTGACGTCATTTCCGGCCAACCTATCATAGCCTTTGGAAAAATTTTTGGTCACAATGTGTAAAATTGATGTCCGGGAGGGTACTGGAAGTTTGGTGACGATCGGCGCAGCGGTTCTGGAGATATATCAAAAAGTCTGGAGGGGGGGCAAAAAATAGCCCCCCCCCCCACCAGGGCGCGGGTTAAAACAAGCGAGGGGGAGCGATAAACGACCCCGGGCGCTAGAGGTTGGAATTGCCCCCGGACCATGCCAATTCACTTCCAAATCTCAAAGCCGTAGCCGTGTTCCGGGTTATGTGTATTTGGAGATGCCCCGTCGCCGTGGAGATGCAGCCAGCCGCGGCTACCGCCGGCCTCTGCTGCAGGTCAGCGGTCAAACCCACCGGAGCCGATCAGGCGCAGGAGCGAGCGTGAGACACTCGCCCAGTACTTTGATAGTAAGAATATCCCACCAATGCATCTTTATTTAAGCATCACTCAAATACAGGCGTCAACACATAAAATGGCCTGATTTTAGATAGCAGCTCTAATCATAAATAAGGTATAAGGATATCATAAATAAGGACGTGCTCCCTGTGAAGGAAATTGTGAACACAAAAAAACGATAAATTTCTATAAGAAAATGCACGCTCGTCTAAAATGTAAGACCCTGGACAGCTCACTCAGACCCCATGGTGTCCCCAATGACCCAATATTCCACCCAGTGCACAGTGGGGATTTTTCCGATCTAGCGCCTATTAATTCAAAAAATATTGTTTTGGATTTTTGTTTATTTTTTGTGTCAGTAGGGCTAAGAAATGTCTGAATTTTTCATATATGGCATTGTTTTATCTGTATGTCCACAGCAAAACTAGGAAAAATGCGCCCAAAGTTCACACTCATGCGTGATTACTCAATGGGCTCAGCAAGGCCCGAAAGTATAGCTCAATTTCATTGTCCTGTCCTGTTGGTTTTAATCTTGCGAGGTCTTGAAGTTGCATATCGTCTGAAAGGCACCTTTATTAAGAATGGAATGGCAAACAGAAAGTATGCCACAACCTTACTAAGGTCACAAAAATGCCCTTTACAAAAAACCATTACAGACACCATATTGAAGGAATGGTATTCTAAATAAATGTAGGAAATCAACAATGTTCTCCACACTTTTCCACTCCGAAATATATCCTATCGAATTCGCCACTTTCTTCTGCACAAGACAACGCCTAGTTTGGCTGCCGAAACTTGCCTGAACACGGAATATTCACATTAGAGTATCTTAACACCCCACTCGAGGAGCGCTAGGGCAAACAGCACGATATAGGTATGTTCCGGACATAGGCGAATAATTTTACTTCGTGATTTATATGATGCATATTTTCTGAGACACATTCATTAGGAATAGGATGACAAGCGTAAATTATACATACCGTAACCTTATTAACCATCGCACTTGTGGGGAGGGGGAGGGGGAAGGGGTCGGGTAAAACCCCATGGTTTTCCGGAAATTACTCGTGCAAAAAGCGGCAGATCGCGCCGAAACTTTCGGTACCCTCGAGATCATCAATTTTACATCTAACCTAAAAATTTCATGACTCTGACCCAACTGACCTTTGAACTGTGGCATATTTCTCGAGACCATGTTTGGCCGGAATCGCGATTCGGCGTATGCCAGCTCACATTATCCGCGGTTTCCAGTCTTTTTGTGGTTTTAAACGTTCAAATATGTGAAATGATGTTGGTGCCATGCATAATGGTGGGAGTCAAGGTCACGTGAAGGTCAAGTCAAGGTCATTGACCTTTTGATGACCTTGGTTCACTTTTTCGAGTTTTATTTGTTTCTAGGGTAGTTTTTGGTGCTGATTTCGATTTTAGCAGCCATTTGAATATTTACGAAGTAGTTCTAGTGCCTTCGTGCCATGTTACGAAGCTATCAGTAGTAGGTGACACTTCTATGGATGGCCGGCAGGACGCCTAATAATTGATCTAACCTGACCTGACCCGACCTGGCCTAAATGCATAAAGACATCATCTGTGATCAAAACTAACATGAAATTCGTGATCAGCACCCCAAAATACCCCGTAACACCCTAACTTTGCGAAGTTTCAAGAGGTCTCGATTTCCCAACTTTAGTTGGGTCATTAAACTGACTTGGAAAGTCAGCTTATGACCTTGGACTTTGAAATTGGATATATTCGGCCTAATTTCGTCATAGGCAGCACGCTTGACTTTTCCGCGAAGCTCTATCTTGATCAGGGGCCAAACGGCTGAGCGGGGGGTCCAATTGAACCCCCTATACTATGTTGATTATGCACATTTACAGGTAAAATTCTCACCAGGACACACCAGCCAACATCTGTGCACAATCTGGCTACAATTATACCTATGGTTTGCCCTCTACGAATAAATACGTGCTAGATCGGAAAAATCCCCACTGTGCAGTGGACTTATTGGCCCTATCGGTCGGCCCCTGTACACATCGGACAGTCACTGTGGACATGGGATGGTCATGTGGCCATCAGATGATCCCTATAGACATGGGAAGGTCCCTGTGGATATGGGATGGCACCTGTGGACATGGAACGGCCCCTTTAGACATGGGACGGCGCCTGGGGACATGGGGCCGGCGGCCGTTGCCACACGTCAGCCTCAGTTGGCGGCCGGGTCGCGGCAGTACTCGCCGTCAGCGGCGCTGGTCCAAATCCACGAGAGCGCGTCGGTGACTCTGGCGTACACGCCCGGGTATTTTTCAGTCGCGCAGCCGATGGACCGGGAGACGACGCCGACGAGCGAGTAGCGGTCGTTCTCCAGGCTGACGAGCGGGCCGCCCTGATCTCCATCACACCAGCCCTTGTGGTTGGCGTTGTCGGTGCAAATCATGCTGGAGGTGATGGTTCTTTCGTCAGTATAGGCCAACGCGCATTCAGCGTAGCTGATTATGGGGACGGTAACCTCGTGCAGCGTGTCGGGCTTGGGGCCGCTGTGCGAGGTGGTGCCGAAGCCGGTGACGATGGCGTCGGCGCCGACAAAGTCGTTGGAGGCGGTCGGCATGCAGGCGGGTGCGATCTTATTGTCGGCGGGGAAGGTGATAGCCGTGGCCAGCTTCAGCAGGGCGAAGTCGTATTGTTGCATCCAGTGTTTGTTCGGGTGCACCTTGATCTGGGCGACGTTGAATCGGATCTCGTTGTCGTCCTGGCCGGTGAGGTGCTTGCGCAGTTGGACCTGGATATCGCTGGCCGACGATCTGGCCGTGCAGCGGGCCGACGTTAGCACGTAGAGACTGTTGATGACGGTGCCGCCGCAGAAAGTAAGATCTTGGTCTATCCTATATATAGCCGCCTGCCACGGGTACTCGTTGGCCTCGGTCTCCTCACCGCCGACGATGCGCGAGGCGCGGTTGACTTGGCCGCAGGCGCAGGCGTCGGAGGGCGGCGGCGTCTCTCCGACGGTGACGGTACACCCGAAGCCGGGCCGCACCTCCGAGGAGTCAGTGTGCCAGTGGAACGACATGCGGTCGATAGCAGCCACGTCACTCGGTCCGCTGCACTGGTGCTGCAATATCTAATGCCGTTCAGAGACAGCCAGTCACCGCCACACTTCCAAGAGTCCTCGACGTCGAACTGCGAGCACGTCACCGACAGCTGGTCGCCGGCCTGGTCGGCGTACAGCTGGTAGTAGCAGTCGACGTTGTTGCTGTAGTCGCCGTCGCCGTCGGTGATGGTGTACTTGCCACGCGCCAGCCGGCTAGTGCCGCAGCCGAGCTGTGAGCCGGCCGGCACCACGGTCGGCTCCACCACCGTCACCGTGCACCGGTAGCCCTTTTCGACGACGCTTTCGTCGCTGAAGAAGACGATGTCGAGACGAGATCCGCCCACGGCAGACGGCCCTCTGGTGCCGCAGTACATGACGTCGTTAACCCGCAGCCAGTCGAACTCGCACCATTGGTCACCCTCGTCCTCGTCACCCTGGTCACCCTCGTCACCCTCGAGCTCGAACGTCTCGCAGTTCAGCTGGAGCTCCTTACCGGTGTCGGTGGTGAATGAATAGGCGCAGTACGCATAACTGTCGTAGTTGGACGGGTAGTTTGGCGACTCAATCACCGCCGACGAGCCCTCGGTGATAACGTGAGATCCGCAGCTCACCGCGTCGGAGCGCACGCTGGGAGTGCCAGTGTCGCCGAGTAGGGCCGTCTTCTTGTCATCCGACGCTGGCTTCTCCATACCATCTAAGTGCGGCTTCATACCATCAAACGTGGGCTTCTCGGCCGACAGCTTTCCGGTTTTGTACCTACCTTCCTTGTCTTGGAGTGTGCTGGGCAGCGCCAGGGCGCCGGCCAGCAGGCAGCCAAGGACCAGCAGCTGACACGTCCTCATCCTGTGACCTCGGCGAGCGGCCAGGGCTGACTGGGACGACAGCACCGCGGGGCAGACCCTATTTATACCGCCTGGGCATGTCATCGCCAACACTTCAAAATGGCGCATAGATGCGTCTGTCTAAACCATCCTGGCTTCGTGTTTTGGTTATGACTGCGACGAACTGTCTACATAGGTGTGCGCTAGAAAACATCTGCAAAAAGGCATGAGCACAGTGACTCATCACAGCTGTTGCCTGTGACCTAGAAACGACAAAGTCATATGTAAGTGGCAAGTGCCCATGCATCTATGTAGTGTGCACTGTGCATAGTGCTCGACCACTGGGATAGCTTGCATCCCGTCCCCCTTTTCTCTTCAACTTGTTTGATTATTTCATTCTCTTTTCAGGAAGTACCTACCGCGACTTTTCAATATGGCCGTGCCCAGTGAATTTCTTACTGTTAGCGCAAAACCACTTGGGACCCAATTTTACGCGGTTTCTTTTGAATACGTGAAATAATTGCGACAAAATTTAGTTACTGGCCGTTTCGAGACTGCCGTGACTTTTACATGCTGGTAATTTTGTCTTCATTTCAATATTTCAGGCACTTCGCATTGACTTGTTATGAAAATTTTCGAGAAGATTTTCACGCAGTGTGTAGAGGCTATCACTATTCAAAGTCAGTGTGATACGAAGTGACGTCACTTCTAAGCCCCGGCTCCTTGGTCTTGGCCTGCGGCGGTTTCGGGCCGGAGAGTGGTCACTCGCGCTGCAGCGGGGAGTGGGGGAGGTTGGGCGGTGCAGAAAGCCGGTAGATTTGTGCGTGGCGTCTCGTCCGACAGTGCCCAAAGAAGAGCCACACGAGGAGCTGCAGCAATGCGTAATGCACATTGCATGTACACAGAGGCGGATCCAGCTCAGAGGTTTGGGGGGGGGGAGGCAAACCATAACAATTTATCGATTCTTTCCATGCATCGTTCATAGGCGTAATGTTAAAATTATGTCGTTGGGGGGGGGGGGGCAAATGCCCATTTTGCCCCCCCCCCCCTGGATCCGCCACTGCATGTACAGTACAATGCAATGCAATCATTCGCTGATATTTTCTAAATTCTATAAGCTGCAAATGACGGGCAGAAGGCATATGACATCAAGTTAGGAAATAGGGGAGAGAGGTCATATTGCGCCATGTTCTTAAATGCGCCACACCTTCCTCCTGCCAAAAATTCGATTCGAACGAATACTCGAATGTGTGCATTTACTTCACCACCAATAACTCGCTCTTATTCCGGTCCACGGGGGCAGGTGAGGTGTCCCAGCTTTCTCCCAGACCATTTTTTTGTGATTTCCTCTATTTTCTTACGCGAAACAGTCTATTTCGACATTTGCTAGTGTCATGGTTTATCTTAGAGATAGTGATTCAACTAATTATCATTGTTAATTGCTCGTTTAATGGTAGTTTTGAAAGTTTATCACCACCGTGGCTTCGCTGTCGTCGCCATATTTGAAGCTCATGAAAAATGTGTTCCATTCGTAATTGCGCCCACCCTATTTGCGCCCTATTCTTCAACCCACAGAAACATCATCTGGTGGTTGGGACACATTTCATTGAACACTTTGATTATTAGAGCGCTCACCTTACCATTACCGTAGCCTTCACAGCATAAATGGTTAATGGGCTGACACTGTGATAGGTTCACATGTAGTTTGGCGGCTGGCGTAGTTTCTATTTGCTGGCCTGTGTACTACGTGGGGCGTAGCTACGTATTTACGTTATATATGCGACTTGCGTTTTAAAATTCTCGTTTACAGTGTCACCATGCAATGTTCAGATGTGTAGACTATGATTATTGATTATCTAGTTCCATGCAATTTTTAGCTGATGAAGGACTCGGTCTTCTTCTTTTGTTAATTGCATCTGCCAAAATCGAAACCAGTGCTGATATTGTTAGACCTAACTTAGATGATTAGGTACAAGTAGAATTATATCACCCGCCGCCAGCCGAAGCGCCTGCCCCGCACCCACTGTGCCAATAATTGCCGACACGCTTCCAAGTAGGGTAGCCTGGGGCAAGACGCCCCAGATAATTTATTTTGCTACATAAATTTTGTCCTACATTAGCTGGAATGCCAAATTTGTGCTCAATGCGTTCTTTGGACATTTTACTTTAAATTGCACCCCTCAAATTCATTCACTTATGATCGGACTCCAAGCTAGGAAGTGATTTGTGAAGCAACTGCAAATGGGGCATTTTGCCCCAACCCCAGGGCAAAACGCCCCACTGCCTGGGGCAAGTAGCCCCATACTTTAGATTAAAGATTTAACATGGTAGTTGGCTAAATCTTATGTGAGAGGTCCGTTAGACCTCTGGAGGCACGGCACTGAAGTTAGCACATTCCATCCTGTCAGGTGTTCAGCTATGACACTATTGTATGAGCAGGTTTTTCACCTGCCTCATAAGACCAAATAATAAATTATTGCAATGCAAATGTTAACAAAATACTTCCTTTGCCATCCAGTTGCTGAGAAAAATACACATAATGGCATAGAAACTTACTGTTCGCCAGCTACCGAACATTAGAAAGTGGGTAGCCCGAACAACACATGAGGTAAAACGCCCCATGGGGCTTTTTGCCCCGCGACCTACTGGGGCGTTTTACCCCATCACGTAGTTCGGTCAGAGAACAACGCCTTGCACTCCAGCAAGACATAATTTAACACGGACCAACCCGGCATGATAAGCGTTAGACAATAGTTGTTCAAAATACATAAAAGTCATGAGCCTGATGTGGACCATAAAAGAACGCCATGATGCATAATATGACCACAAAACATAAAAATCACTCAAAAAACACATTTTTGGCTATATCTCCCGAAAGAGTCATCACAATTTCTTTCCAGTCTGCTCATATAATGATCATATAGTACACGTTTTATAGAAGAGAGGATGTTTCCCCAGAACTCTGCCAGTTCCGAGAAACATCGGTGAGGCGTTTTACCTCGGCGGGGCGACTTGCCCCGGTCTACCCTAAACACGTCAACATCTCTGCGATCAATATCAACTCCATCACAGCCCCGGAGAGACTACAAGAACTTCAATGCTTTGTTGATTCAAATAATATAAGCATCCTAGCGCTATCAGAAACTAAACTCGACGACACGATTCACCCCAGTCTTTACTCTCTCAGAGGCTTTCATACCCCAATATTGAAGAATAGAACAAGAAAAGGAGGTGGAGTAGCGATATTTGTCAAAAACACACTTCCATTTTCACAAATATCTTCTCTAGAGAGTGAAACGTTTGAGACCATATGGGTGAGACTCAAATTACAAAACAAGTCTATTCTTCTTTGTTCAGTATACTTCCCGCCGAATGCTTCCGCCGACAGGCAGTCCCAATTCCTAGAATATTTATCAGACAGCACTCTAGAAGCTCAGAAATTTGCTCCCGATCTCACGATCCTTTTGGGTGATTTTAATGCTGGAAACTGTTGGCTGTCTGACCGAGCACCAAGTCACTCCCCGATCACGTCCTTCGACATCAAACTGAAAAACACTGCTGAAACACTAAATTTAACTCAGGTTATTAATACAGCGACCAGGGTGCAGGGTGGCGTCAACAATCTGAGAGATTTGGCATTTGTAGACCAGCCAGATATGGTCAAAGCTTCAGGAGTCGCTCCGGCTTTCTCAAACATCGATCATTTACCTCTGCTTATCACTATTTCGCCCCATACAATCGAAGAGAGTCGGCGCTCCACAGTCACGAGCTGGGACTATCTCAGAGCTGATGTAGACGGCTTTGTTGATGCGTTGAGAGAAATCGACTGGAGTGCTATAGCAAATGCTGATATTGATGATGCTGTCGAACTACTTTCATCAGCCATCTTGCGCACCGCTGAGGCACATATACCCAGGAAAGTGATAAGAACCCGTACTAGCAAGCCCTGGGTCTCTGCAGAACTCAGACGAGAAATGCGGAAGCGCGATCGTCTGTTCAATATCGCGAAGCATCGTAATAATGAGCGAGATTGGTTAAGATGGCGATCGCAACGTAACCTAGTGACAGGCCTTAATAGAAAACTAAAGAACGAAGTAATAAAACACAAAGTAAATCTCCTCATTGCTAATAAACAAACCCCGTACAAATATCATAAAATTCTTAAAAGTGTCA